TGTGAGAAAAATCAATTGCAAGTAATAAAGAATTAGATTAGTGAGCTCAATTATAATATTTTGAAAAGATGTTTTGTGCTTTTTTGAACATTAGAAATCTAATTAAAAAAGAACCTGAAATTAGAAAGTACTAGGTCTGTAGTTTTCAATGGAATGCTGAAATTGTGAATGATATCTGAACAGGTAAAAGTGTAATAAAGATTTGTTTGTAATCAATATTTATGATAAAGTAAAACTGGTATTGGTATATTAAGAGAGTATAGCTATGGACAGTTATTGATTAGTGCCTAGTAAAGAATGGAGGTAATGTTTATCAGTAAATCAATAGCTGTATATAGGCTGTATGTTATCAACACCTTGTCATTGAAGAATAAACTGAAAGGCGTGTATGAAGACTGTATAATCAATCTGATACCTGATACCTGTTACCTGTTTAATGATTTTGTCTGAATGATTAGCTTCCTCCTGTTATCAGACCTTCAAGTAATTTTTTTAGTTACTTTTTTGTGAGATGTTTTTCTCAAATTGTTGCTGAGCAATTTTGATTTAGAAACTGTGATTTAATTTGGATCATATGGTTTAAAAGTTGAATGTAACAACGATAAAGATAACAATAAATTTTTGAGAAAGTTGTTTACACTGAAATCTTATTGGGAGATAAGGACGGTTGAAATGTAACATTACCATTCTACAGAAGACACTGGCACAGGGTTAAAGAGAATTACTTAAATGTAAACTTATTTTCTTGACCCTCTTCTTAGGACACAAAAATAGGATTTTCCTTGCGATTTCTTACATTTTTGCTTGCATTTCACATTTAAGGTCAATGATAGATAAAAATATGTTATTTTGGTGATAAAACATACCAGAAGGCTATCTTGTAAGATAAAATAGATTATAATCTCTAAAAGAATATTATTAAGTCATAAAAAGGATGGTGAAAAGAACAATATTCTAGATTTAAATTTATTTATTATACTAAAAAGACTGGAATAGACAGACACTTTCTTTCCCTTGTTAAAAGCGTCTTGTTCTTCTGATTGGACAATAAACTGAGGTCTAATGTGTTTGTGTGCATCAGGCTGCATTATGTGTATACCCTGTATTTGCTTCTTTTATTTTCCACTGTCCTGCACAGGACACGCTACTTAGCCTATTTGCACCTTAAATCTTGTTGGATGGATATTGTAGAGCGTATGTATTAAATGTGCACCCTTGAAAGTTTAATTTTGAATGGATTTAAACTTAATGACGCTTTGATAAACCTAGTCTTTAAAGAGAAGATTAGTTGACATTGAAGAGTAGACTATAAAATTGTAAAAAAAAGTTGTAAGTTGTATAGTGTGTAATACACTCAGTGTATTCATATGGTTGTATTTACTTTGAAGGTTAAAAATAGATTGGATCACATAGTAAACTGAGTGAATGTAGGAGATCTGATGACCTGTTTACAGGTAGTTTAATATAATACACTTGATAGACAACCCAGTTATAATCGTTCACTGAAAGCTCACTGGTTGGTCATACTCCTGAGACCCTTCTGATCTAATAAGAGGGCAATTTCATTTTTAATAATTTTTAGAAACGTATTTATCTGAATTTTTGTGGAGCATGCATTGACCTAGCATGACCTGATCTTGTTTTTATTCAGCTAATAAAACTCACCAAGTTCAAGGATATTACCTGTACTTGATGTTTGCCTGTCTTCCTATCTTTGTGATGAAATAGTTCTTGAATTCATAAGATTGTAATTTGTTTTAATGTAATTCAGTAAATCAGTAAAACTTTATACCGCAATACTTAGTGTCTCTTAATACAACAGATGTCATTGTGTAAACTTATTCATGTTCATAAATTAAAAGTCTTATCTTTTATCAAAGAGATTTGCGTTTTGACTATTTCAGTTTGTAAACGTTTTTCTGAAACTTGAATAAAAAGATATATTGGAACAGAAACAGTATGTACAATTTTAGAGTTGATTGAATATTGGTAGATCATATTGCTACTAAGCATTGAATGAAATAGCCCTAAGATTTGCTTCTCCTATTTTCCAGATTGATCTGAATGTAAGATGCAGCTTCGACAGAAGTCGAGTGAGGCTCCTCCATCTCCTGTTAAAACTACTGGAATAAAGAAACCACATACAATAAGTCAACGTAAACGTGATATTGGATTAATTCACAAAAAAGAGGTTTGTATATTTTACAGTCACATTGTTAACAATCCAGTTTTCAAAGATTTGATTGAATTCAAATTAAAAAAAATGCATTCACCTTCTTATTGTTAAATATGATAAAATACATTGATGAAATGTGAAGTTGTTTTCAGTGTCTTCTAATAAAGTCGTCTTCTAATAAAGTCATACTCAATTTTATGGTTTATGTCGTGGCCCTATCATCCTATCAAACGTTCCCACTTCTGTAAAACAAGTACTAAGAGGACCTTGAGCTTAATCAAATTCAATGTCACAGGGGTTTTCATACTGAATAACCAAATACAATCTAATTTGAATTAGATTACAAATCTATATCTTTTTTTCTGTTATTTTTCGTTTCCGTGGTATTTAAGAAGTTTTCTATCACTGGTACTAGTGCTGGTATGATATATAGATGAATCATGATACCACAAGTACGATATGCGTATTGTATCGCGATGTCATGAATCGATACTTGATAATACCTTTCAAGATGTTTATAAGTTGGTTTTATGAAGTTTTTTCACTGAATTTGTTAAAAACTTTATCAACTATATTATCAAATATCACAGTTATAAAGTTCTGATTTTAATATAGAAACTTTGAAAATATGTTAATTTTATCCCATTGTAACCCCATATCAAGATATGTATGTGTATCAAGACATGATTGACATACTCAGCACTACTTTTAACCAATCAAAGTGTGCCTTTTAAACTTGTTTCTTGATAAAATAAGGAATTGTGGTATATCAAAACTTAAAGAAGAGCTTTAGGTTTTGATATACAACAATTCCTTCTTTGATCATGACACGCTTGATTGGTTCAAAATAACATTGGGACAGGCCTTTGTTAGAAAACTAATTAGATACAATGTAGACTAAAAATATAAGAAAACAACAAAGATACAAAATGTGAATCTAATTTTAGTTGATCGAAGCAAATAAGAATGCTGAATATTCATGATAATCATTAAAACTTGAACAAAATGACATTTACCAGTATTTGGTACATAGACATAAATAAGATGCATTTTGTGATTTACTATTAATTATTCAAACAGCCTACATCATCTTGATATTTGTAATATGATAAATATTACAATGGTATTTGTATTAGTGGTTATGCTATGTTTAACTAACATCTGTTTTTATGACTAGTCCCATTTAGAATAATCAATAACTGTATTGATTTGTTGACAAACTGAAATATGATTCATAATTCCAGCAAGGGAAAGTAACTCCTGAAAAGAAAGCCAAGTTAGATAATAATCATAATGGTGAATTAGGAGATGGAGTTGAGAGTTTTATCACGTCCACACCTCAAATTAATATTTTAAAGAAAAAAGGTAAAATGTTCATTTTTGTAGCTAATCAGCTTCAAGAACTTTAAATTTAAACACAAATAAATATGATTCATAAAGTTCAATTAATTATATAAATTTCCTGCTTCCTAATTTTGTTTTTATCTTTATACATAAAATGCTTTTTATACTTCAGTTCTTTAGAATATACAATGTATATTGAACTATAGATTTAAGGAAAAGCAATTGCTGGAATTCTGCAATTTCTTGAGAGATCACACAGATTTGATTCTTTTTGTCCAATTTTAGATCATGAAGGGAACAATGCCATGTCCACTGAAACTGGTACCACCACATGCACAACTGTTCTAGGAACAAATTCTATATTTTCTCCAAGATATGACCAAACAGGTAAGCTGCATTTGAATTCTAGACTAGTTCATAAATTCATAATCCAGGTAAGAAAGGTAGCACTAAGACATTGTAAAGAAAACATCGGTCATGTTTCTTTAGTTTATTTTCAGTTTTTCAGTTTATGATTGAAGTTGAGATATGATGAATTTTTTGAAGGAAATTACTAGTTATCCAACATTGCATTGTTTCCTTGAGCTTATATGAATCTTTTAGTAAGGATGTCATCACCATTTGTTTTATTTTATTGCAGTTTGGGATATGAATGGATCAAATAATGAATATAAAACGGATTATTTATCTCCTGTAGATTCAGATACTGGTTCATTATTATTGAACACATGTAAGTTTTTTAAATGTTTTGTACACTTACTTCATCTTTATCTCATTTTCCCCTGAGGAAGCTGGGATACCTCACAGTTAAGACGTGAGTTGTCATGTGATTTTGTGATTCAGGTAGTTTAAACACAGATGCTGGTCATTCAGCATTCGTAATTCGTAAATCTATTATTTATTACCGAGACAGATTCAGAATTACTGAAACTGTTCAGGTCCCAGGATTGCTTTATGGTTGCTGAGAACAAAGTGTATTTTATTTGTTTATATTTCAGGCAAAGACAATGATAATCCATACAAAGAGAATTATTGTGAAGGATTAACAGAAGATAATAATAATAATAACAGTAGTGTTCAGTTACAGTATAATGCCGTCCCTCATACATCTAATGTGGAATGTGACTCAAACTATGTAGTTTGTGAAGAAGAGTGTGTTGAAGGAGAAACTTATGAATGGGAACAAGACCCGTAAGTTTAATGTTAATATAAAGCATGAAGACACAATCCTTCCATTCTGTTATGTAGGAAGTCACAGGTGGCTAAGTATGTTTAACGCTTGCTTGCTAGCCTTATCCTGCTATAAGTCATGCTAATATATCAGATTTTTCAACCCAGTTCCCCTCTATCAGTGATACAAGAAGGAAGAGCCTACATGGGACAAAACACCAAAGAGACGAAATGATGTTATGGTGTTGCCAGTTTTCATTTGTCCAAACTTACCTCAAATGTGTACTGATAAAGAAATTCATATTTCAGATATGCTATAATAAAGAACTTACCACCTTTAACAGATGAATTACGAGCTAGAGTACCAGCTCTTCCTGTTAAAACTAGAAGTTCACCTCAGTTTTCATTAGTGCTAGATTTAGTAAGTATTTCGTACCTTCCAATATTTCTGCTTGAGTTCACATTTATGATAAGGTTTTGCTTCAAGAGGAAGTTTGTAGATATTTTATAAGATTTTTAAAATTTAACGTTTTTTTTTCAGGATGAAACATTAGTTCATTGTAGTTTAACTGAAATGGAAGATGCAGCTTTTTCATTTCCTGTTGTTTTTCAAGATGTGACTTACCAGGTCAGTATTATACCATTATTAATTAGATTCTAAAATTTACATAAAAAATTAAACCTTTGCCCCTTTCAGACCAGTATTATTATAATAATGAATAACTTTCATTTAGCTCTTTTAGCTGGTATTTAAAGAAATGGTTAAACCACAAAAATTTTTTCAAGAATACTCAGGAAGTTTAATATCAGACCTCTAATTGTATTATTTATTTATAGGTATTTGTTCGCACCAGACCTGGATTTCGAGAGTTTTTAGAGCGTGTATCTAAGTTATTTGAAGTTATATTATTTACAGCATCTAAAAGAGTTTATGCTGACAAACTTCTCAATTTACTTGATCCTCAGAAAAAACTTATAAAGTAAGTAAAATCAATCTAAAATGGTACAAGCAGATTCTATGATTTGAGACATTACTTTTCAAGTGTGCTAGCTACAAAATGCTCAGTAAAGAATCTAAAAAAAATTGGTCATTGAACACTAGAATTAATTTTTGTAGCAAAAAAGAAAACGAAATGGTAATCTTGTTTTGATAAGATTGTGTGTATCCATGTTAACTTTCTTAGTTGTTACTATCAATGATAATTGAAAGGAATTGTTATTTATAGGCACCGGTTATTTAGAGAGCACTGTGTGTGTATTAATGGTTACTATATTAAAGATTTGTCAATATTAGGACGTGATTTATCTAAAACACTTATTATTGATAATTCACCACAGGCCTTTGGTTATCAGGTCAGTATTCTAGTTCTTTTCAGTTAGATTTAAATCGGGAGCTGTAATCCCATAGAAAGTCTCTTAATGATAATGATACTTTTTATTGGGCTTGCTTACTTTTCTAACACGCTTTTAAGTCTTTATGTTGGAAGATAAACATATATTTTAAAAAGTAGCTGGTACATGATAATGATAAAATTTTCTTTCCTTTCATGATCTGACTAATTTGTTATGCATGAGAATACTGTCAGGCCACTATTAAAAATGTTTTTGATTGGTTAGAATAAATTATTAAAATCTTTTGCTGTTGTTCCACACATCACGATATATAAGATCATGGATGGAATGTGTAGTAACCTGTAGAAAAAACATGAAACAATACCCAGATATACATTTGAATCAGATTGCTCTTCTTATACTGTTATTTGATATAATTTTAGCTTGATAATGGTATTCCCATAGAAAGTTGGTTTATGGATCAAGGTGATCAAGAATTATCTAAACTCCTGCCTTTTCTTGAAAGTTTAGTTGCAATGGTAAGATGATGATTTAATTAGATCTTAAATGATTCTTCAAATTGTTTACAACAAGCTTCTCGCATAGAAAGAAATAAACTACCATATTTTACAAGGATAACAACTTAGGTTCACAATTAAGGATCCTTTGTTCCAGTTGGTCCTTGGTCAAACCTCTTGTCATTGATCTTTCCTAAACATCATAATGAGTAAAGATGACTTATTCAAGGTCATCGGACTTTCACACACCAGTCAAGATAGGAACCCACAGCCATCATTTGCTTGTCGTAACCACGCTAATGACGTCCGGTAAAAGCCAAAGCTCCAACTGATTTGCTAGAGAACCTCAATAAGATATAGATGGTGCAGATTCAAATTTAAGTAAGGACTTTTTCTATTTCATGTCTTTTCGTCCACAAGACAGACAATTTCCCATGAAAGCATTTTTCTCAATGTTGATGTTAACTTTCTTTCAGAATGAAGATGTTCGGCCATATATACGCAATCGGTACCGTCTACATACATTATTACCACCATAATGGCAACTAATAAACACCACCACATACAGTCATAAAAACTAACATAAGGCAATCACAATTCATTATGTTACAGAGATTTTATAATTATGTATTATATTGTTAGACAAATATTATGTTATTTGTGTACAAAGTGTTAACTATAATCCTTTATTACTTGTTGATTGTTTGTTTTTCTGTTTGTTTTCATTTGATATAAGTACATAGTCCTTTTTTTGGACAACCTTGATATAGATTAAAATATTCGAAAATAAATTTTTTTCAAACTATCACAATTTAATGACAAATTTCAGCAATGCTTTGTTTGAAGAAAACCCTATAAGATTTCATGTTATGTAATATCAACATCTGTTTGTGCATTTTAGTAATTTGAAAGAGTTGATTTTGTTGTTTATTGTTGAAATATTTATAATTTTAGCCCACCAAATTCATCATGCATTTTCTATGTAGTTATTTTCTACTTTTAAATTTTAAATTAAATCATGCCAAAATACGTAAAGAAAGATGTCTCATGAAGATTAGGCAGCAGATCATCAAATTGTCCATATAATTTGTACATTTTTAAAAAATTTTTAAGTAGGAATAAAAGAGGAATATAATCCATATTGCAAATTACTTTGATTTGGTTGTAAAATATCAGATTTTAATTTTGTTTATGTGCTAAGATTATTCAATAATTCATATGAAGAAGACCTTGCTATATAATGTATTATGGTATACATATTTATTTTATAGTGAAAATCATTAAGTCATGATAGTTTTGATTTTTAAAGACATCTCAAATTATGAATATAAAAAAAATGAATTTTTATTGTCTTTCTCCATTCCTTATATTACAGCCAAAGATAACAGTTTATACTTATCTGAAACAGAATGCACTTAAAACTTCTAGTCTAATCTAGCCTCTTTTCTGAAGCTTTGGACGGAATCCCAGTTGTTAGACAAGCTACCTTGGATAGTAGATTGAATCTTTCTAAGAATTTAATTTCTTCGTGGGTAAGAGTCAATCACTTTTGATCTAATATAACATCAGTATTTAATTCCACAGAGAGCTTTGTACTTCTGCAAATATTTATGCCCTTTTGGGGTAGTTTCTGTTTAGGTAGGCTAAGGGGTAATTGTAACCACAAAACATATGTTTCAGGATGTACATAAATATTTAAGACCTCCCAGGCCACTGATTGATACTTATCTTAAGATAATGTTGGTTTGACTACAAGGTAACTTCAACAAAATTTAAACATTTTCAGAATATGGCAGTGGATTTGGAAATGACCCAATTCATATCCAAAAATTACCTGTCATTATAAAAAGTTATTAATTATATTAATCAAAGAATGATGTACTTATTAAAATGCTTGTTTGTGATATATATAGGGCAATATCTGTTGGTTTAAGTTTGTTTGTTTCAAAGTAAGAAGTAAAACTTATAAATTTCATTGTTTTATCTTTAAGTAATGCTCAATATTTAGAGAAGGATTTTTAGAAATGATAATTGTGTTTGAATTTTTAAAAAAATAAAAACACCCCCAGTAGTATTAGGTGTAATTTTTGCCTTTTAAAAGTGTGGGAACACATCTGCAAACATATTCGGCCCAATTACACCAAAATGAAATAAGGCAATTAAAAGATGTAGTAATGAATATTTAGCCTATTATTATTTGGTGTATATTGACATATGAATTTGATAGTATATAGAATTAACTGTATATTTGTTTATATAAAATATAGATATAAGAATGATAAAGTAATAATTATAAAAGATATATTATTATAATGTAAATTTGTATCATTATACAAGAAATGTAAAGAAATAGATGATTGTATTTTGTACCTTTCTTACTTTTCAATATATTTAGAATTAGTGGGAGTGGCTTTTGTCAGTTTTAAGAACTGGTTAAGATTTAATTTGTAATGTTTAGTTTTGTTGCAGATTGATTGTTAAATGTTTTATCAAATTCTTATCCTGAATTCCTGTCTATTTTTAAATCACTTTCTTTTATGGTCACCAATGGTTTTAGTGTGATCTACTTATATATGCAAATTTTTTATAATAGTTGCATGTTCTGTTGAATAGATTTATTAGTGCTAATAATCATTACTGCTTTTTAATCGCATCATCCTCCTGCTTTTAGTTTATTGCATTTCATATGGCCATTTTTTTAACCATTAGAAAAAAGTTAAAAATATTGTTTTAATTTAGTTTTATCACTGCTGAATGTTTTTTTATTTTTGTGCCATTCTTTAGAAATGATGTTTTTCTTAATGTTAAACTAAATTGTAAACTATTGTCAAAGATGCTTTATATTTCATTTCTCAGAAAGACTTACATTGTAAATTTTGACAATCTGATTAAAATACAGCACTTTGTTGTTTTCATTTCATTTTTGCTATGAGTTATTTTACCCATTCTTGAAACAGCTCACTTATTGGAATCTTGGCCTATGGGCTTCTTTTATTACAGAAATTATGATTAAGATTTTGAAAGTAGACATGATCTACAAGGCATCTCAAACTATCTCACAAGTATTAGACATCAATTTATTACTAAAAACATATAGTTACTTTATTTTAATCAGATGAGTAAATTAAAGTTTGTTTCAAGGGACCATTATGGTTATATTTAAACATATTACGTTCATTTCAAGAAATTTGTTAACACTTCTGTGTTATTATTTTCTTCTTTTGGAGTTAACTATCATGGATTGGCTTTCAGTGTACTGTTTTTCGATTCCATTTGTCTCTTCTTTACAAAAATTTTAATCCCTTATCTTTTAAAGTTTAAAAAATATTCCATCCAGGAAAGTCATTCAAAAGCAAATAATGATATAAAAGCATTTATTGTAAGCATTCTATTCTGATAAAAATCTATTGTTTTGATAATATGTGCTAAAACCTTGTTAAATATTTTGTGAAATATGCAGATAAAATTCTTATTAGCAATTTGTTGTTTTCATTTTTGATAAAAGTAAATCACTAAATAGAACATGAAAGCTACCATCAACAATGGATCACTGGTAATCTCTGTATTTGGGCAAGATCAATGACTACATAGGATGGTAAAACATTACAGACCAATATACGCTGAGATAATTCAACAATTAATGTGTAGCAGTAGCCACATTAGTTAAGGAAAGATTTTGAGATTCAGTACAGACAAGTTTTTTTTGTTACATCTTACAAATTACGAGAGATTCTATACAAATTTATGTTTAGCTGGGAAATGCTTATATTCTGATCCTTCAAAATGTCTTACAAGGTCAAGGATTAGCAACTTTTGGGCTGAAGAAACGAGTGACGGGCCAAAAAGGTCTCGAGGTAAGAGTCCTTTCAATCATAATCATATTTTTCATATTTTTACTTCAGGGCTGTGGTCTATTAAAGTATGTTTTAGTAGAGTTGTCCCCCTTGATTTGCGACGGATGTTGATTTCTGCAACATTGGCACGTGTTCAAATTGAAAAAGATATTGACGTTTATCACATTTATTCATACATGACAGTTATCACGAATACAATATAATTAGATATAAGTGAACGGACGAGACAAAACAATTGTCAAATCTTTTATGGTTAGTACAAAATCAACTTAAAGGCCTACACACATTCACATAACGTTTGTAGGCCTTTCAGTGAAAGTAAAACACACTGACTGACACTGACAATGACAGGTCAGCGGATACACAGTAGACACTTGGTTCCTAATCTTTTTTTGAAAATATTGATATTAATATAAATATTCCTGATCTATTTATAGAGTTATTTCATTTTACACTCAAAATGTTTGAACCTAGCTTCCTATTCAGAAACATCTGCCTCTATTCCAGTCTCTGATGGATATTTTGACAGTTGTCAGCTGGTGTGGAGTCGGAAGAAAAAGGGGATTTTCCACACCTCCACAGATGCGTTTTTTCTAACATAATATTGAATTACCTGTAAGATGATTGTAAATTAGTGTTGGGCATCACTGTAACTTTCGTTTTGTTAGTATCACTGACTCTGTGGGTTTGGAACAATATTACTGTAGAAAAGGAAAGATATGCATAGGGTGACAGCACCTTGCACATATCAGAAAGCCAGCATCAGGGAATGCATTAAAAGAGATCACTTCCCATTAAGCAGGATTTTTGTGGCAACCATATTTGAAAAGCATTGGCGCAATGAAGTTTTCAATTTGTACTAAATGAGAAAAAACTCCTGAAATTAAGGAATTTGACATGATGGGCCATTATTTTCACCCATATTAATCTATCAGTCCATCACATTTCATGAAAAAAAAAAAACCATTAAAAAAATCATTCGATATTGACACAAATCGCTTCTACTTTTTCAACTATTTCAATAATCCTGTACTGTACATGCCTTGTCTATTCAAGGTTTAACACTTGTATTAGGGACCATAATTTTCTTGTGATTTTACTGAAATTTAGAAAGTAAATGAATGTAGGATTTATCTATGAAACCTCTTCGAGGGTTCCTAATGGGAGTACAGAGCCTTTGAAGAAAGGTAACAAAAAACAATTGCTTTAGCTTATCAATTTCTCTGCCAAGTACCAGTATTCGATATTTACAGGATGATAAACTTCATGGTCAGTTAATAAGGTAAATTAAAAATAACTATCAGTTCTTGGTGTAAACAAGATTTAAAAATAGTATGATGTGTTATTTCAGGTCAAGAACAAATCAACCAATACTTCAACATTCCTGATTTTACTCTCTGTGTAAGTTAGAGTTTTTAATTTCTATTGGGTGCATGTTTGTGTGTTTATTTTAGAAGGGGAGGGGGTTAGATGAAGATTTGGGTGAAAAATCTATCTGGACAGTAATAGCAATTATATTTATAGATTACATGATAAGACTAGTAATAATGTCAGAGCCTGAAATTTGGCATTGACCTTTGCCAGTTATCTTGTATATTCAGTAAACAAGTTGTTGGTATGGTGTTAATAATGAATAATAAAAATGAAAGAATTTTTTTAGGTAATCAATGGATACCAATCATAGGATACTTGAAAAGATGGGATTTCAAGAAAAAAAAAACCAAAAAACTTTTTTAATCAGTGTAAAGAAATCTTGTTGTTATGACGAATAAATATAGAATGGAATATTCTAGATTTTATTTTTTGTTAAATGTAAGGTCTCGTTGACATTGTTTTAACCAGAGAAAAGCTGTAAATAATGCCACAATTAATATCATAATACTTTATCATAATCAGATTTTAGTATAGGGTTGTCTGCAATATATTTTAATACATTATCTTAGAAATAACAAATTTAATTATTTGGTGTTGGGTCCAGTGGTGTTTCTAGTAGCTAGGGGGGCGAGCAGGGGCCACAATTTTTTTCAATAAGCCATTCTTTCACTATGTAAAATGATAAACTTTAAAAGTGAGGGCAGGGAGCAAAGCCGGACCAGCTTCTTTTCTGAATACATTAATTATTGCCTTGCTCTTGAAAACACGTTCAACTTTTAGCTTGTAAAATTCCAAGAAGGTACGATTATTGCCAGATTTTGACAAAACTTGGTAATATTGGTCATTGGTCATTATCACCCGAAAAAGTTACAATGAAGTCTGTGACTAAAAGTTTAATATTTCATACCAGGTGATTGTTACTGGACTACCAAATATTCTTATTTAAAATCAAACTGCCAGTAGGCGTCAATTACCTTTCCTGGCAAGATATCTTTTCATAGAGACACTTTGTATGTTGTTGATTTATTTTCATGTTATATCAACAAAAGGGCAGGGTAGCCTAACCCGTTATTGTTATATTTTGCATAAGAGCGAGATGATTATTAATTGAATTACTGCAGTTCCAACTTAATCAAATATAATGAAATATGTTCTGTTTTCACTGTTTCCTTGAACATGTTTTCCTTTCTTTCTGGCCATAAATAATATTATCATGTGAAGTTTAGTTGAAACTTGGCAATTGAATCTGATCTGAAGGCTATATATATTCATGTTATTTAGAACTTCTTAAAGCTGATCTGAATTCTATGTTTTTACAGCTTAAGAGTTTAAAAAAGAAAAGGGAAAGAGAACGCAATTGTGTCCATATGATTAATAGAATGTCACCATGTTCTGCCGAATTTGGGTAAATTCTTAAAATCTAAAAATTAAGCTTCCTTACTTAAGCTCGTATTATCCTGAAATGAAATGAAATGAATGTAGTTTTACTCGTATTATCCTGAAGAGAAGGTTCCAAATTGTGTCAATTAACTTTGGTTAGAAAATAGGAATCAAATCCACATATCCTACGGACTTTTTGGTAAAGCAAATGTTTCCTGAAGGGGTTAATTGCTTCATATGCATACTTTATGTCTAAAATGTTTTGTATCAGCTTTTGAGAAAGAAATTTCATAGTGAAAATTTTCAATATGAGCTAATATTGATATCTTAAACGGAACACGTAAAATTGTGTTGGTGAATTAGTTTTAACTGATATAGTAAGGTGGAAGTGTTATATGTGGTTTGGCACATAAGGTAGTATATAAGACAGATGTGTAAACTTTTGATGTAAGAACTAGACATTGGGTGGTTATTATTGGTATAACCTTGAATGTTCTTGGAACCAACCAGTAAAGTCAAATACTCAAAAGTTGTCTATTTAAGTAGTGTTAAATACTCCTTAGGCACTACACCTTGTTTCCTCAATTAAATTTTGAATTTCTTCACATTTTCTCTTAAAAATTTTCTAACAGCTTAAGGAACCATTTGTCATGTTATTTATATGCATGTTACTGACTTCACTTGCACATGACTTCTTCAATTTTTCAATTGCTGCAAGTATTTCAATTTATAAATTGGGTAGGATGGGTGAGAGCCTATATCTCTATTTTTCCACAAGGTAATTTACAATGATAGAACTACGTGACATATTAATTACTTGTAGTATTGGACTCTTCCAATGTCTTTCATTGAAGGTAACCATGACTATATAAGATGGCGTCTAAAACTTTCTTTCTGTTTGCTATTTTTTCGTGATGTGTGTAACTATTATTACCGGCAATATAAAAATGTAATTAATTAAAGCAACTTAAGAGGTGAGCCAATAATTTACTTCTAAAAAAATTCCAGTATATTTTAATTCCAATGATAAGCAGTCATTTTTACTTTGAGTTACTCTTATTGGTATTTATAATATATTATATTGTTGCCTTTTGATTCTGATTTTTATAAGCCAACATTTGATTGCAGACTGATTTCTGTTAGCTTTTAATTTTATAAGTCAACATGTATTTGGATCTTGACTTGGATTTTTATACACCCACATGATATAGAATCCTACATGTCATTGCTGTCTGATTGTTGATCATTTTTATGATTATAAGAAAACATGTCATTGCTGTCTAATTTCTATAAGCCAGCATGTCATTGCTGTCTGATTTTTAGTCATACCTGTCTGATTTCTATAAGCCAACATGTCATAACTTTCTGATTTCTATAATCCAACATGTCATAGTTTCAACATGTCATTGATGTGTGACATCTGTAACCCAACATGGCATAGTTTCAACATGTCATTGATGTGTGACATCTGTAACCCAACATGGCATAGTTTCAACATGTCATGGCTGTCTGATTGCTATAAGCCAATATGTCATAGCTGTCTGATTTCTATAATCCAATATGTCATAGTTTGAACATGTCATTGATGTCTGATTTCTATAAGCCAACATATCTGAGCTGTCTGATTGCTATAAGCCAACATGTCATGGCTGTCTGATTGCTATAAGCCAATATGTCATAGCTGTCTGATTTCTATAATCCAATATGTCATAGTTTGAACATGTCATTGATGTCTGATTTCTATAAGCCAACATATCTGAGCTGTCTGATTTCTATAAGCCAACATGTCATAGCTATCTGATTTCTATAAGCCAACATGTCATAGCTATCTGATTTTTATAAGCCAACATGTCATAGCTTTCTGATTTCTATAATCCAACATGTCATAGTTTCAACATGTCATTGATGTCTGACTTCTTTACGCCAACATGGCATAGTTTCAACTTATCATAGCTGTCTACTTTGTAGAAGCCAACATGTCATAGCTTTCTGATTTCTATAATCCAATATGTCATAGTTTGAACATGTCATTGATGTCTGATTTCTATAATCCAATATGTCATAGTTTGAACATGTCATTGATGTCTGATTTCTATAAGCCAACATATCTGAGCTGTCTGATTGCTATAAGCCAACATATCTGAGCTGTCTGATTACTGTAAGCCAACATGTCATAGCTGTCTGATTTGTTTAAGCCAACATATAGTTGTTTGATTTCTAGCCATAGCTGTCTGATTTGAAGCAATCATTTCATAGGATTTTGATTTTTGTGCACCAACTCAATTTGTGTTTTGATTAGATAATAGTGAACAAAAGGAATCTTAATAATTGTTGAAAAAATATAAACATGAATTAATGCAAAATAAAATGTGGTAGTGAAGGTGTGATGTATTAATGAGATGTCGTGAGATGATAAATTTTAAATACCCAACATGTCAGATATAGATACCATAGATACCTGTACATTAATAGTAACAATATGTCATAATCAGTCTTGTACCTGTTTTTTTGAAAAAATAGAATCACATGCTCTGACTCATATCTAGTTATATAATGCCAACTCGTATCATAGTGTATGTATATCATCTGTTAGTTGTTCCATCATTTCTTGATCTTGACCACACTTTTATTTAGATTATATTATTTTTTATTATTTTAAAGGAGTATCACATTTTTTTTGTGGGTGTATAATTGTCCATAGTGCGTAAGATTGATTTGATTGATTGAAAGTTTACAACATGTATTTACAAGCTGATATTTCAACTTTTAATGAAATATAATTTTATCTGAACACAATTACATGTATAAGAATTACTTAAAAATTACAATAAATAACTTGCAACATTATACTCAATACAATTGTATCAATTTATTCATTCCCAACTTCCTCATGTGCATGACATTCAAATACATCCGACGGATATCATACAAAACTATATTCATTTTGAATCACTTCTTCAACTTAAAGTCAAATTTTGAAAAAGGCTACAATGTTTCAACCAAGCCTTCAAATCACATCTCTAGCCATTTCTAAACCTTTAAATATAATTTGAAGGCTTTGTTGAAATATTGTAGCCTTTTTTAAAATTTGACATATTAAGTCGAAGAAGTGCTTCAAAATGGCTGTGAACTACTTTCATGGGTGTTATTTCCACCTAAGAACCATACATAGTTTCATATGAGACATGTATGTCTTAAAATTTTTAATTGGCTTGTAGTTATTGGCTCCATTATGTACTATATAGTAATTGGCAACCTGTTTCTAAATTTCTTTCACCTATATAAACACTATTGTTTAAACATCTGATGGTCTTCAAATTATGTCTATACTTAGAATAATGTGAAATCTGTTGATAAGAATACCGATTTATGAAGGTGGTTCTTTTATTATATCATTGGAAATTCCAGAAGGTTTCATATATCTGATTGTTAGTTTGTTCAATTACACATTTCTCCAGCACTTTTCTGACACATAGGTATATAGGAAATGTTATAGGTGTTTTAATTTTTAATTTCTATCATTTTGATGATCTTTTTCTATGTTGATAAATTTGTTCCTATCAGTAATGCTGAACTATTTTGGTTATATTTTCAAAAAAGCTTTAGAAAGTATGAAAAAAAGTATTGTATTTTTTTCATCATTTTGTCAGCTTATAAACATTTTGGATAAATACATGTGAGTTTTCTCCTTCAGAATATAGTATGAATTTCAATAAAAAAAAACCTAATTAATTTTGACATTTTTGTATTTTCAGGTTTTCGAGAGAAAGAATCTGTATCCCCTTCATTGATTGTAAGAAAAGTGACTGAAGTTAAAACATATCAATTGATTATTGATTATGTTAGAAATTAGTATAGCCGGAAAAGTTGCTCTATTTATTGCTGTCCCCTCCACTGTTATATTATTTTATTGGTTATTACATCGTAATGAAGAAGGTAAGATCTTATCTCTTTTGCTTTTATGGACTTTGTAAGCTTATTCACCCGGTTGTGCAGAACTAATGACCTCTGTGGTTCCTGCACATTTTGCTCTCAGTGTCCCTAATACAAATAAAATTTTCAGAAAGCCTCTTTGATATCCCTTTTAGATCTTTGATTCTTTCATGATGGGTTATGAAATTAAAAATGTTTTTGGATCTTATACAAAGAACAGAAAATGATTAGGTGTATAAAATATTGTTATTGACATGTGATGAATCAAACAGGAGGTGTTTTTTTGTCCAAGTATTAATGGGGCCTGATAATAGTATAATATAAAATATAATGAATATTAATATTATAGATGATGAAGAAACTACAGCAGATACAATATCTACATCCAGACAAACTGTTATTGAAGTACAAGTACCTAGATCTACTGTAGGCTCCATCATTGGACGTCAAGGTGCAAATATTAAAAAGGTAAGTTGATTTTATTTTAAGAAGAAATTTTGATATGTGTTAAACTATTATATAACAGTATCGGTACATGATAACTAATGTTAAAGAACAAAAGATAAAATGAAAATGTCAAATTTGATGTATTGACAAATGAAAGTATGTAGCCATTGAAATAATATAAACTGTCAAAATTACATTCTTAGTAGTTAAAACTGAAGAAGAAACACAGTTATTCTCCTAGATACAAATACTAACAAGGAACACTCCTTTAATGATAGTATTGTGGAATATCTTCATAATGAAAATAAGTTATTTGTTACATTTATATCTATAGGTCTTTGAACAATCTGTAAAAAATTATGTCAGATTATTGTGGTATAGAGCAATAAGTTCATGAATTATACCAGATATTTTAGATGGGTGTTCTATTTATGAAAATATAATTTGGCGTCTGTTCTCTGTAGTGAAAATCACCTGTGTATCTGTTGCTATTAGAAACATTTGATCAAGAATTTGTTCAAAGGTGAAAGTGATTCCCTTCCTAGATAATGTCTGATTTGATCTCTGTCCAAATACAATAGATTTCCGCTGGTACCTTGGTATAAACAATCAACCGGTAACATTATCTCACCCACATGATATTAGGCACACATTTTTGGAAGGTGAAAAAAAAAAGTATGAGTTTATTCACGATCTATCTTTGACATTCAGTAATCAGGTAACCATGGCGTAATGTAAGCTAAACCAATATGGATGACAGGTGTAGGTTTAGTTCAGTATTTATTTATAAGATGCACTCATGGGTTTAGGTTGAAAAGAAATGTCAAAATTGACTTCATTCTGTTTCTTATCCCGTTATATTGTTGAGTTTTTATACACGATTTTTATCTAAATATATCTATTGTGTGACATATGACTTCTCTTGTGAATTTTCAAGCACCATCTTTGGGTTATAAAGCTTTCAGGTGTCATAGTTCAACTCCACCTCAATCCTTGAATTTTCAGCCTATTTAGATAATACTTTTAGATTATGCAATCAATTTCCCTCTGTTACTGATGAGGTTAGATGGAAAAGTATTTAGTTGCTCTCTATAAACAATAAACTAAAACTGTGAATATGAATGTTGCATTCTTTCATGGTACACTGCATATCTACATTAGCCCAATTGGTTAGAAGAAATTTAAGAAGAAAATCCCATAAAACTACTGAAATTCGCATCAATTGTGTTTTCAATTATTGGAGTATGAAATAGAAACATCGATTGAAACACCCAGAATCTTAACAAAGTTCATCGTTATTACATAGAAGGTTAATTAATTCAATTAGAAAAATATTTTCTCATTTAATGATTTAAAAATGTTGAAGTCCAGAGAATCAAAAATTATTTATAGATTAACTTTATCAGACACTATACTGATAGAAGATACTGCTGGGATTTCATGATTTTGGCAGAAGTTTGAATATTTATTCAGTTGGTTGAATATCCACCCTATGTTTATATCAAATTGAGCATTTAATAGCAGGTTATATTAATGTAATAAATATTGTGTTCTAGAACAGACTTGAATACAGTTTGACATTCAGCAATGTGTCAGTTTGTTAAACATCTTGGTTTTGTAACTGTTCTTGGCTGGTTTTATTAAAGAATAGAGAATGCCTGACAATGAGAAAAGCGGTAACTTGCTTAATGTATCATTGACACGATTCTTGAGTAAAATCTCACATGTGCCCGCACTTCCAGGACAAGATTATCGATTATAGGATTTATAATATCAAACCACTTTAATAATTGTCACTGTTTTATCGTCTGCAAGACAGAGCATCATCATCCAATTAGATTCATTTTCCTTTCAATGGCATGATTTGCATGTGATTATTAACATAGTGGAAAACAACTGACAAATATAGCCAACCAATGACTGCAGCATTAGATTCAATAGATCTCAATCTCCAGACTTTAATCCAAACAGATGTATAGCGATAGGCATTTCAGAGATATAACCATTTCAGAGATATAACGTAAGGTATTGAGATGCAATTTAAAGATCCAGTTCACAGCCTTAATCAATAATGTACATAGTGGTATCTGTTGGCAATAATTCATACTCACAATATAGACAAAACCTATGGTAAAATTAGTTTGTATTTTATATGGTGAATCTGGCAAGGTTTGATAGCTGATAGTGAAAGATTGGTAATATATTTAGATATTTGACTACCACCTTTCTCTATATATAAAACATAAAACTGTTTATTATCCCAGCTATAAACAACATAATTTTACTGAACATAATTTGATATCACTCACCCACCCACCCACTCAAAATAACAAGTACAAATTTTAACCAATCATAAATGTCCATGTATGTACAGTCTGGATAAACAAAAAAAGACTTTTTGACCTTTTTTGATCGGTCAGTTATTAGAACACCTCTACTTTCTATTCATATAAGTATTAGCATTTTGATTTTCATAAATGAAAATGAGGGAACCCATCTTTCAGTATAAGTGGTCGACTAAAAATACTGGGCTCGAAGAACGGTTCATAGTTAAGCTGCCTTAACTTTAGTCGTCTGAACGCACTTTAAGTAGTCTACTTACTCCAGTCTACAGAAAAACAGAGAGCACCTGTTCCATCCAATTACAGTTTCATTGAAATTTCTTTATCTTGGCAATCGAACATAAACAAATAGTTTAACTTCACTTTGATCATTTAATTTTGTAACTATTTGAAGTCAATGTTAATAAATATCAACAAGTGTAATTCAGATAGAAAATGACCATGAACCATGATATTTTGAAAGTAAAAAGAAAAGTTAGAAAGTCGTGTGGTAAAAGTTTCCTGTGTCTAAAGATAGTCAAAATTCAATAATTGAAATAGAACCAGATCAGCTATGTTTTGTGAAATTATTTTCGGGATTTCTATATTACTATAAGTAAACTAACTATAGTGTTGATCATGTATGACATTAATTCATTTAAGAGAATTTGGTTTTGATAAAATTCTGTATACAAATAGTTAAATTTGACAAGATAAAAATTTTCAAACCTCTGTGGTTCCTGAAATTTAACAAAAAATAAGTGTTTAATGACGTTACTAATTGCAAAATATGTTTTTTTCACATAAGACCCTCTGCAATTAGTGACGTCATGAAACACTCAGTTTAGTGGAATTGCAGGAACCATAGATGTCTGATTGAAAATTAGAATGATGCAAATTGATGCTATCAGTGTTCCAAATACACATAATACTTTAAAAACTCTAAACAATTTCTTTCAATGGCATAGAATATCATTAATGTGTATTAAAGTATAAAAGATGTTATAATGTATTATTAATGTAATATATTTCCTATTGAATGTAATAATGTTAGGTGGAGACTAGAATAATGGTATAGAAAGGGAAGTAAGAGAGTATGTAAAACATCTGGCAATGATAAATCTAAAGGTATCACAATCCTGATTACGTATACCGCCGCCACACTGTTTCTAACACTATATAATCATCACAACTTTATTCACGCACATTTCATATTGTTTTTCGTGCTCTACACTCCCTTACTGGCTAGTATATGGACAAGGACAGAATTACGGGCGGGGTAGGTGTACTCATATCATTTTACATTTTATTTATATTAATTAATCCATCACGATGTGGGATTCCCTGATAATAACTATATTAGTTAATTCTAATGAAAGGTAGATTAAAAATCCCAATGATTATGTTAATTATATAAATGGACATATTAGAAAATTTTTATAGGTTTATACTTTATTTTCAAGTAAGTAGGTGAAAGTAAAGTATTTTTTAAGTGACATTAAAGTTAAATATCTTTGAAAAACTTTTGACCTTTAAGATTAAAGTGCAGTTAGATATTAAGAAATTGCTAGACTGCACTCCTTATCTTTAATTTTTTTGAAACCTGTAATCTATTTATTCTTAAAATGTTTGCAATATGAAAATATTTGTTATATTCTTGTACTTAAAAAATCCAATGTAAGGTTTCAATGTAAGGTTTTCAATGTTAGGTTTTCAATGTTAGGTTTCAAGGTTAAGAGTTTCTTAGTTTTTTAAATATCATCTGAAAGTCAAGTTTTCAAATTGAAAATTAGTGCTCAATACATCAATGGTAGATATAGAACGTTTTGATATTTCTAAGATTAAAAAATATACATTTTGGACAATTGGTCCTTTAATAGTGAATAGTTGTATTGCTCCTAAATATTTTGGTGAGAGACGCATCATTCTATACCTGTTCAATGAAGAAAAGAATGTCTTGATTTTTGGTCAAGTATGTAGGCCTATGTGCGCTAAGTTGATCCTATTTGATATTTTCTAAGACATTGCATTTGAATAAAGGATTATAAAGACTTCATTGTTAGAAAATATCTTATCATGTTCTATTGCACATGTTCAATTTCTTGCCAGATACACTTTATATTGGGAACATCTTTCATTCAGTGTGTATATCAGTGATAAGGATATTGTTTTAAAGAACTTTTGTGTTTAAGAAAAAAAAGTCAAAATGGTGCACACTTTTCCAGACATTTCTTAAAGAGGGGTGCCTGCAAGATTCATAAAAACAGAAATTGTTAGAAATCCTTTGTTTTAGTTGATATTGTGGAGTCAATTTACTGTTAGCTTTTTTTTTCGAACTTTCCTTACATCTTTAAAGTGAATGTTGCAACTTATATCATGGTGCATGCACATAAATTTTATATGTGAACATTAATATGATGTATTGACTATGTAGAGATAAGATTTAAATTGTGGTTATGTTAGATTTCAAAAGAACAGATTTTTATTAATACATGGTATGCATTGCCGAGACAACCAAATTGATGCAGTAGTGTATATTTCCAAACACAAGTTTTATGTTTGATGGCTAATATCATAGTGACTTTAAACATATGTAGAGATTGATTTTGGACTAGGGTTATGTGAGATTTTGTTATTATAAGAAGTGTGATATATAGGTGGAGCCAATATTTCCTTAATGTCAGACAGATAGTTTACCTCTGACTAATATACACCATATTCTATCAGGAGAATTACGTCAATAGGACTAGCTTAGTACATCCCCACCCTTATCATCAAATATTTTACCAATGTCGAAGGTTCAAAGTTAGTCTGTTTAGAGTTGCAAGGTGCACATATGTTACTCTTTCATGAAATATTGCCAATGGATATAAATATTTAAAGGGATTGACCGGGAACACTTTGCACCATTCCAATTTTCAATAAGATGTCTGTAGTTCCTGCAATTCCACAAAAATTAAGTGTTTGGTTATGTCAAAGGCCCTTTGCGATTAGTGATGTCATCAAACACATAGTTCTAGTGGAATTGCAGGAACCACAGACCTCTAATTAAAAAATTTGAATGGTTCATACTGATGCTATCAATGTCCTCGATACAGATACCAAAATCTAGAAACCTCTTTACAGTCTCTTTAAGTTAAGAGAATAGAAACTGAAAAAATATTATGGCACACTGTAAGATTGATGTGGAAATCTGAGATTTATATGTTTACTTTATACAATACAAATATAAATTCTTTGATTTTATTTTTCTGAAGACCATTTTCTATTCGGTGCATTGATATAAATTGCCTGAAAGTTTTGAAATGATCTTCGTAAGCCTTTGAAAACTTGATGTAAATAAAAGAAAACGTATACCCTGAACTCCAAGTAATATTACTTATGATGTTCATTTTTTGTGACTTTACATGTTAACAGTCACTTCAATGGCCATGGGGTATTTCATGATATTATTATATGGCCAGAAGATCTGCCACTGGTGGTATTTGGTCAAAAATATTTATGAAGTTTTAGTAATATATATCGAATAGTTTGTTTGTCACCATAAGAAGATATCAAGCACGGGTTGTATGAGATCATTCTAATGTGACCCTTGATCCAACCACTGCATATTCTCGTCTTTACTCTTGGTTGATTGAAGACTTAGCTCTTACTCAATTCTGGTTTGTTTATTCTAGTTACAAGAAGAAAGTGGTGCTAGAGTTAATTTTAAAGACGAAAGCAGTTTAAGTCGTCGTAGTGACGACAGTAGAACTGTTATTATTCACGGTACCTCAGCATCTGCTCAACAAGCAGAAATAATGATTCGTAAAATAATAGCTGACATGCCCGCAATTCTGACTGAAGAAATTCAGGTTCCAGCAGTTGCCTTGGGCAGAATTATAGGTAAGTGTGTTGGCTCTTATGAAATAACAATAATTTGTATTGATACAGCTTAAATCTTCATTGTTTGTTATTTCATATTTATTTGAACACTGTTTAAGTTTCAATGTTTATCATTTAGTTTATAATGTCGTTTATACTAATTCTATGTAATATTTTCAATATATTGGCTTATTTAATAATGAAATGGCTGCTAAAGGATTTCACGTCACAGTAGAGGGAGATATCCATGATCCTAAGCCTGTCGTCAGAAAACACGTAACTTAGAATGTAATTCAAAACTAGAATTTTGACGTGTTAATAATTTTAATTCCATTAAGATCCACCAATCAGAGCAATTTGTAATTAATTAATTAATGATTATCTTAATGTTACGATGCTTTTAATTAACCACCCCTGAATAAAGAAAAAATCAAATGAAAAATATCTGTTTTTTTACAGGTCGTGGTGGAGAAAATGTTCGAGAAATATCTCGTATCTCTAAAGCCAAAATCTACATAGAAAGAACAGCAGATGATTTTAATAAATTAGGTACACGTAAAGTGACAATTACAGCTTCCAAAGAACAGATTGATTTAGCCAAGGTAAATAGTTTAGTTTTCTTTTTTTGACTCTGTCATTAATTCTGTCATTAATTCAATTGGCATAAGTTATTGAATCAGTTATAAGAATAATAAGATACAGCTTGTCCAACGAAATAGTTTATGCCATGACCTGTGCTTTTGAAAGTCTGTCCAGTGTTAGTTATCACACTTACCAAGTCCAAATCTTCTTTGAAAGCTTTCTGACAAAAACTTTTTTCCTGAAGGCTTTAATTGATGAGAAAGTTCAAGAAGAAGAAGCATTCCGAGCAAAGAAATCTGTAATGGAAGCTAATCGTGAACAGCGAGTATCACATCGTAAAGACAGAACACCAGATCATGACACACATCACACATCTGGTACGTCATTGAACTCAAATATATTTTCTGGTGGGAATAATAGTTTGATTGAAAAGACAGAAACCACATCACATTTCTGATTCAAATGCAGATCAAAATGTTTTGTTTGGTGTTTTTTCTGCAGGTCATTACATAGCTGAAGAATCTATGATCTAAATAAATTCTTCTTTGAATCATGTTCAGTCAAGTTCTCCCAATGCGTCTTAATTTATTGCAACCAATAAAAAACACTGTTCAAATCCCACAATATTTCATAGGTAGTCAGTAAATCTTTTATTAATCAAAGGATATGATTTGATGAATTTAATAAACAAGAAAGAGTGTTACCAGATGTTTTTATTAAGTGAAAGAATAAGAAATGTATTTGAAAATGTATGGGTTTGTCTCAATTACAGTTGTAGTAAAAGATGAACAATGGGACAGCAAGAAAGTGACTGTGGTACCAGAGCATAAAGATTATATGGAAGTATACATGTCAGCTATAGAACATCCTGGTCATTTCTGGATACAGATTCTCAGTTCTGAGGCTATGCAGTTAGATCGAATGACTGAGGAAATGAACAGATTTTATGCCACAGATGAAGCAAAATCAGTAAGAGCACATTTTTATTTATCCTGCAGAGTTCAGAACGCATTCCCCTTATTCTCAAAAAATAGTACATGTAGAGAGAAAAATATAGAAGGGCAGAGAAATTTAGGCCAGAATTTCAACATTGGGAACCTGTTTCGAATCTCCGTTCAAGTGTATATTCCACGTCATGATTATTCCCCCTTTATTCTGAAATCTGTTATGTAAAGGCTGTAATGTTAACAACAATTCCTATAATGTTTATGATAATGTTTTGGAGACTTGGTTATTTGGTAAACAAAACTGTAACACTTTTATAAGAAGAAAAAGCTATTACACCAATTACTTAGTATTAATGTGTTTGATGATATTGAAATGTTGTCTTTGTTTTTTCAGTCTTATACTATGGGAGAAGTATCTATAGGTGATATGGTTGCTGCTCCATTTGAACATGATAATGCTTGGTACCGTGCCAAAGTTATTGGAATCCATGACGATAAAGTGGATTTATACTTTGTAGATTTTGGAGATAGCGAATATGTGTGGAGAAACCAAATACGCAAATTACGGTGAGTTTACCTGACTCTACATTGCTTGTTCTCTTATAATGTTAGTATGTGTTGGCTGTATTCACAAGCATACAATTCAATCTAAACTTGCATGATACAAGAAAGGTGGCTATTGCAGTTAAGGTTTAAGTACAAAGTTTGTAATAGCTTGACTTGATTGTGAAGTTGCATAGAAATAAGTATCTCCTTTTTCTCCCATATGATTGAATTTTTGTTAAGGCACAATTGTGCAAGGTAACATAGCACAGTTATTTCTCCAAAGACTGATTATATCTATGTTGTATATTTCAGACCTGATTTTCTGAGTTTAAAATTCCAGGCAGTGGAGTGTAAATTAGCAAACGTTAAACCTGCAGGTATTGTATTATGTTATAAACATTCATCACAAACAATGTGAACCCTATTTTATGACTACTTTACATTATGAAATTATACAACCATGTTCAATTTAAGTTGCTTGCGATTCAAAATGACCCCTTTTGTGATAAGTCAAAAATAAAATTTTATTGACAAGATCTGCAAATCAAATCAAATTGTATATTTATAGTGAGAATTTTCGGCAAAACCTAGAATGACATACCAACTTTCTGTGGTATTTTATTTCTCTATAACTTTATGGAACAAACATCAGTCTACCACTGGAACATTTACAGAAATTTTATGAAATGAAATCAACTTGTTTAGCCAAAACTAAAAGATATTAAAGATATTTTCAATGGAAATTGAACCCTGTTCAATATAATTAAGGTTTCTGAAAGAATCCTTTAGATCTAATTTAAATGATAGACTTGATTAAATATTATTTTATAACTAGGGGAGTGTTGGAGTGAGGCAGCTATAGATTTTTTCGAGGAGATTACATATTGTGCCCAATGGAAAGTTTTAATAGCTAAAACATTAAGATATGAATCTACTCCTAGTGGTATGATGCCATGTTTACAGTTATTTGATACCAATGGAGAAGAGGTGAGTCTGTCTTCTTTAAAATGAATGCTGCTGTATCCTTTACTAGGTTCACTAGACTTGCTTAGAAAATCTCAAATCTGAAACCGTTTAAAATGGAAAACCATCTCTAAACTAATAAAGATGTAGTTTTGGAAATGTTAATCTGAAGAACTACATGATTTTGGTTCTTGTTTGTGTTTGAAATATTATAAACTCAATATTAAGAAGTATGTTTGGAGGTTGCAATTTACAAAAATACACATTGTTGACATAAATTAATAGGATGCTGAGCTGAAAAACCTAGTCAGGGTGGCGTCAGGTGTTCAAGGTGTGATCATACTCTGCCCTGTTAGCATAGTTATTTACTACATTACTAATATTGAAGTAAAGGTTCAATTTAAAAAAGTTTTTCTCAACCTGGACTACTTATCTAAAACATGCTACTGTAAAAATCAAATTTGTTTGTTTATATTTATCTCGATTTCTCTCTTGATAAGAATTTACATCTTATTTTAGGATGTAGATATAAATGAACAAATGGTATCGAGGAAACATGGTGTGATAGATGATGAATGGATGACAACAGGCGAGGGAGCAATGGCTTCTTCTCTTGAGGTACACAGCACACAAGCACGAGTTTGAAGTGAGTGCATGGCTTGGCATGGCCATTTTTAGTTTATTTTTGTTTAGTTATCATAATTTTTATTTTATCATATTTATTATGTACCATACCATACCATATTAGTACCAATTAGTATTTGCTTGTATTCATCATGTTTTGTGTCCTTTGCACTATACATATTTATATATAAGTGTTGGGTGTGAACTAGAGTGGTTCATGTCTGAAATTTGATGAACCATGACAAGGAGATATATTTATCAAAAAACAAAATTCTTAACAAGTAGGGTTAAAAGCCGATAAAACTCTCAAAAGAAGCGGCAGTGGCATCAGAATTTTTCTTACTATCAGGAGGCAGTGCCTTTCTTTTGCCAACTATCATGTCAATACCAGTGCAGTAGGCTAAGATATAATAGAACTTCTCTCAAGGGAAATTGAGATCAAATTTCACATGTCCGACTGACAAGAAAATAAGTAAACAGCCCTCCTAGGCACCTTATCTCTTCATAATATGGAATCATGACAGAGTTGTACATTTCAAAATTTTTGAAAGTTAAGCATTAAATTGAGAAAGCAAATTTTCATGTCCAATGTCACTTGTTTCTAAATTATTCTAATTATGTACTTGATTAAATGAAGGGTTTAATTATTTTGATGTAAGTGAATCTTTTGCAAATGGTTTGTTTGATATTTACTGCTTGATACTTATGACATCACTTGGCAACTACTTGTAAAAATGGCTGTCCTTAAAGGGATTATGAAAAGGTTTTCTAATAAAATGTATGTGTATTGGGGACACTGATTAGATTAGAATGGTATAAATTGATGTGTACCTGATAAACATACATTTTTTTTAAGAAAACCTCTTTACAATCCCTATAAAGTTTTACTAAATAAACTATTCTGAATTGGTAAGCATCAAGTTTAACCACATCATTCTGTAGCATTTTGTTTTTCATTATCCATTGAGTGATTTAGAAAAGAATACTCTCCCATATAATATATATATATATCATGATCATAGCATGTTAATATGTTACCAGATAGATATCTTTTCAATTGTTTGCAGTTTTTATTATTGGGATATTTTTTGTTTATCATAAATACACCGCTTATATAAATAATAAACCTTTATAAACCAATCGATTTATCATAAACCTCGCTGTGTTTATCATTTCATTCTTCATGCAAATTAAAAGGTATTTACAATATTGCCAACTCAAATTAGTTGACTGATACTTCAGACGTATTTTAATGAGCTTTTGAGTTATTGCCCTAGACTTTATCAAAGTTCATCAAAATTGGCTTGTATATAATTAACAGGTTTGATTGGATTTTAATGAAACTTATTAATTAAAATTTCTTTAAGCGTAAGTGGACTTATCACAGGAATAAACATCAAGTGTAACCATACTTTTCCTTTAATGTAGATTTAAAGTTTTGTCCAGTAAAATAAAACAAAAGGTAACTATGACACAATGACAATGACATTCTTGAAATCTAACAAATTGATTATAAATAGATTTATTTATTGTTTTTACGATTGTAAACTAATCTGTAAAATGAAGAGTGAATATTTATGTGTGAACACGAATATCATTGAACATTCTCTCTTTATAGTCTTGTGGACACAGTGATGTCACAGTAACTTTTTCTATTGACAAAAGAACATTTTGACCCACCCTCATCTCATGTTTTAATATAATAGTCTGGCCTGCTACAAATTGTTTCACTTCTCAATTATTCTTTTACCTTTCTAAATGGTGTCTGAAAAAGTGATTATGGGGAATTTGATGCATGTAAGTAGGGGTTTTTTTTTTCAGTTATAAAAAATCAATGAAAATTCTTCCATAAAAGAAAATTTCATGAATGGTACTTCAAAATATACTGCAAATGCATTTGTTCAGAAATGTTTCTATTATTTTAAAGCCAAGTCAGAATGGCTAATTTCATATAATGGTAGATTGAAAGTAAAAAAAAAAATTTCATTCATCATTATTATCAGGCCCTATCTGTCATGTTGGAACTAAAATACATACTAGAGCATGAAATTGACTGTAGAAAATACATCTTCTGGGAAAATACATTTGTTTACAATCACATAACCTTGATCTATTTTATTTAGAATTGTCAATATGCTCAGTATATTTCAATTTGAAGTGTTTATCTGAAGACTTTTCATTACCTAGAAAGTTCTGAAGTTCTGATCCAGTTGATATTGATCAAATAATTTCACTATTTTAACTATCGTTCTTAATTTATTGTTATTAAGCCAAATAATTATGCTCCTATTCCTGCTATTTGCTATTTGAGAATACAGGACAGTACGGGACCAGGGCTGGATCCTGGCATAGTTTGAGATTTGCTTTTGGATTTTTAAATCTGGTTGCCCTTGTCAGTAATGAAGTTTGAATGAGAGACAGTTATGCAGATAATATAATAAACTGAGGCCCAATATTGTGCTACATTTGTAGTAAAGAGTCAAGAGCTGTTAATAGTTTAAAATCGAACAAACATAGGCTTGTGTTTCTGTCCAGGCATTTTTGAACACTCCATGAAGTTTCTGTCTTCATTAACCCAGCCCAGTCATATGCAGAAAAGTATTCATTTTATTAAACTTTATTAAAAATACTTCGGCTTTGAGTAAATGTGGACATATTATTCCAAATGAATTGCACGTTTAATTGATATAAAAGCTTTCGTATGTTTCAAATCCTTTAAATTTAATGATTGTTTCAATGTTGACAGAATGAAGTTTTATAACTATAATGACATTCCCAAAATGAAAATGGTCCCAAATGAATTTGTTGTTTATTCAATATTTCTAATCCTTTAAAAGAAACTATTGTTTTTTGAGTTGACACTATTGTGTGATATATTTTATCACTAATTTAGGAAAAGGTTACAAACCATTGATTTAAAGAGAATATGACTGTAATGTTAGATAGTGTAACATAGTGAATAGGAAACAGGAGCTTTATAATCAAACTAAGTAAACAATGGTATTGTATACAATTACTTTTGACAATAGAATTCCATCATCAATCTGTTAGTTTAAAGTGTATTACTGTATTACTTGTATTTACATTATATTATATTATATTATATAAGTACATGTTGTATATATTGTGCTTTCATTTGGCGAATTGGATTTTCAGCTTCAGAATAGCAATGAAAGTCTTTAAATTATAAAAATACAAACATGTGCACTTGAAAATAATAAGGGCAATTTTCAACCAAAATTTAAAATATAATATAAACCTATACACTGATTTTAAAATGGATACTATAAGCCTTGCCAGTTAAAGAAACTAAGTTCAGTGTTGTTGATGCTAAATGCCTTTTTATACGCCCACACATAAAATGGGCATATATTGTAATCACCCTGTCGGTCCGTCCGTCCATTCACATTTGGTTCGTGCTCACTCTGCAGGCTACTATTCTTTACAGATTCTTTTGATTTTGATTTTGTGTGCCAATGTCATTATGAAGATGATTCTTATCGATTTTCGTGATGATTGGATAATTTTTCACCGAAATATTGTGTCTGACTTGACGTTTCACTCTATTAGCTATATTTAAAAACTTGGTGGAATTTCTCAGCATAGATAACTGGTAGTAAATATATATATCATTGAATTCAAACTATTAAAATTTCTTTGACATGAGACAAATCATACTTTAGTCAGTAAATACTGTTTTATCATTTCTGACAGATGCCAGTGGGCGTATGTTACCTTGCCTGGCAAGCTATCTTTTGGAACATGTTTTCTTTCTGAAATAAATTTGTTATTTTGAGTTTATCACTATGTTGATAAAAATAAATCCAATATTTTCAGCAGAATTTGACCGTATTCCTTTCTATTTCAAGTGGTGAACTTATGATTCAAATTCAAAAGTTTCTTCCATACACTACAGTTATTTATTTTAGATGAACCCCCACGAGTCTGAAGAAGATTATACTCATAAGCTGCAATTTTCTATATTTTCAGAAACACAGAGATAGTGAAGCAGATATATTTTTCCGAAGTCCATCTCCAGACAGAGAAGATAAAGTTTTTGTTCCGCCTGTTGAAGAAGAATGGGCCAAGGATTTTCCTTGGGCATGGGCCTACAACGAAGAAACTCCCTGGCAGGATCCTGCTTCTAAAGAAAAAAGAAAACATGACCAAAGGTTAACAGAGAGAGACAGCTTCAGCCCTCAAGATTCTCCTGAAGGGGAGAGAACTCTAGCTGGAGCTGACAATCTACTTGATTATGAAACAATGGCAATTTCTACAACAGTTACTTCTAGTGGAAGTAATATTGATGACAATAATCAACTGATATTTCGTACTGATTTAAATGAAGAAACAAGTGTAAATACATTGAAATTTACAAGTGACAGTAATGATAATTATGAAATTCTCGATAACCGTCAGATAAC